TCATAAGAGTGTATATCAGTAATACCTTAATAAAAAAAATTGTATAAAAAAATCTAAAGAAAAGCTAATAAAAAAAGTTAAAGGCTTTTCTTCAGTAACAAAAATGGCAGTTTAAAAGTAGGTAACTATTTGCAAGGGACTATGGCTTAGATTTGATATTTTGAGAAATGCTTGTGAATTATTAAGTGTACCTCAGAAACTTTTCATGCTGTAAGCTCCAGTAAAAAAAAAAAAAGTACTAGACATCTTTATATATTATGGTAAAAGGTAAAAGAGCAAAATAATGAGTAACAGCACCCAGGGAAATGAATTCATTGTACCAGACAGAAATATAAGGAATAAACAGAGGTAGGCAGGAAAGCCTAGAATTAGCATGATGCATCCCTGTCCACAGTGCCAGTGCAACAGGAAGTCAAACTGTATTTCTCATGACTCCAAAAGCAAAGTTTAAAATTTATAGCCCATTCCTAATGTCAAATTCATCCCCACAAATGTTATTTAATAAGCCACACACTATGCATATGATTCTGTACTACTCTCAGTGATAGAATAAATGGTATACAGCTAAAGAGAAAATGATGTTTTACAGTTAAGAGTGCCATTTGATAATAGTCTACATTCTAAGAAATGTTTCAGTTCTAAATGGTTCAAAACCAGTCACTGTTTCCTAGTAGTAAAGGTATTTCTTCTGATTAAGGGAATGTTTCAATAAGTACAAGGTACAATTAAAAACAGTGAATAAAGTAAAGACTATTGGCTTCATTAATGCTTTGCTCAATTTCAAAGCCAGGAAACCCCTATTTCAAAGCCAGGAAAATTAGTCCTTAATTCATATCACACACCACATTGCTCTGGATAGGGCCAATTTTAGGAGTCATAGTCTATGTAAGATGAAAAATTAAAAACTCTATTGCTCAGATCCCCTCACAGTTATGCTTCTAGACGTGAATTGCATTCCACCAATGGGATGAACTCATGTAAGATCTGAAAGATGGACATTTTGCTGAGGATATTTCTGTTGACAGCATCATTAAAAAGGAGGTCCTCTGCTGTAGAGTTCCAGGGTCCTCTTTCTAGCCTTCTGGCAGTTACAGTGAAAGCTTTCCGACACTTTCATTAGAGCAATGGCATCATGTTCATGATTTCAATAGATCTTTATCTCAATATTTGTTCTAAAGACCAAGAAAGAAATAACAGCTTTCTTGGCCTATCTATACAGATCTCCAACCCTTCTGACAAGTAAGTTTGGGTAATAACATTAAGAACAGTGGAAATGTATAGGGTTCTGGTCTGAAACACCTCCCACCCATACCCAGTCCCCATATACACATGCCTTGAAGAAACTGACAAATATTTAGCTAGACCTACCAAGAAGAAAAAGGAGAAGTCACAAATAAACAGTCAGGAATTAAAGAGGCGGCATTACTACTGACACTACAGAAACCAAAAAGATTGTAAGAGAATGTTATGAACTGTATAACAACAAATTTCAAAAATTAAATTTAAAAATTCCTAGGACAGTAACTACTATAAATGACTTCAAGAAGAAATAGAAAATCTGAATAGGGTAAGAAGTAAAGAAACTGACATAGCAATTTTAATCTTCCCACAAAAAAAAAAAAAGCCCAACTCCAAAGAGCTTCACTGATAAGTTCCATCAAATATTTAAAGAAGAAATACTACTAGTCCTTTATAAACTCACTCAGTAAACAAAGGAAGAAGCACTTCCCAACTCATTCTATGAGGCCAAGAGTACTTTCCTATCAAAGTCAGTAAACATCTTAAGAAAAGAAAGCTACAGGCAAATATCTACAAAAATATGTAAAATATTAGCAAACCGAATCCAGGATTATATGAAAATGATTTCATACTATGGCCAAGACGAATTTTTCCCAGGAATGGAATATTGGTTTAACATTAAAAACAAAAAAAAAATAAAGAATAATGAAATAGCCCATATTATTACAATGTAAGACATAAACCCCTAGATTATCTCAACAGAGGCAGAAAAAGAATTTGACAAAATCCAACACTCATTCATAATACTCTTAGCAAACCAGGAATAGTATAAAACTTAATCTGATGAAGGGTATCTACAGAAAACTCCCAGCTAATGTCACACTTGTGAAGGACGGGGTGCTTTCTTCCTGCTCTAAGGTAAGAAAACTCCTTCCATTTCCATTCCACATTGTTTATGAGCTCTTTACTCATGCAACAAAGCAAGAAGGCATTAACATAGAAAAGGAAGAAATACATTGTTTTAATTCATAGATGATATGATGCTCAAAATAGAAAATCCCAAGAAACCCACAATAAAATTATGAGGAAAAAAATATACAAAAGCAGCAAAACTGCAGACAAGATCCATGCAAAAACTGATTGTATTTCTGTACACTAGCAACAATCTGAAAATTAAGAAAACAAGTTCATTCACAATAGATCTAAAATTAATAAAATATTTATGAATAAATAAACAAGAGAAGTTCACAACTTGTGTACTGAAAACTACAAAATGTTGACAGTAAGAAAGGTTAAAAAAGAGACAGAACTATACATCAATTTACAGATATAGATATAAAGACACCAGACATGAAATGCAGCAATTTATAAAAATAATTCCACATTCTGCTCAAACAAGTTTTATTCTAGAAACAAATTCAATATTAGAAAATATATAAGCATAGTTCACTATATCAGAAAATTAAACCACAGGATTAGATCAACTGATGCTAAAAAGGCACTTGATAAAATACTGAAGTTACTCTTAAGAAACAGTAAAATAAATGATTTGAATTTAATAAAGACTATTTTCTAAAAACAGATACCATAACCAGTGGAACACCTAAGCCCATTCAACTAAATCAAACAATTGGGGACAAAGTAACTAAAATAAACAATGCCTTGTAAGAAGAGAATAATAAATCATTGGAAAAGGAGAAATACAACCATCACTTTTGGCTACAATGAAGTACAAATACATAATCCAAAAGACTTTAATGAAAAACTACTATATTTAGTAAGAAAAATTTGTAAGGTGTCCAGATATAACACAAATACCAAAATACCAAAATAAGAAGTGAAAAAATATTTTATTTAAAATGGTAAAAAGTAAAACATGCATAGAAAAATATTAACTAGGAAGGTCTAGAACCTAAATGAAGTAAACTATAAAATCTGAAAGAAAATAAAACAAAATAAGATACCTCATGTAACTTTGTGGAAAGACATACTATCTTAATAATATCAGTTCCAAAATTAACAAATAAATATGCTTCAGAAGATCGGAGACTGATGGGAATTAGGCTTGGGGTGGATTAATGATTGTGCATTGAGTCCCCTATACAGAATTTTATTGCTGTTAACAACTATTTGATCAATAAATATGAGAGATGCCCTCTCAAAAAAATAAATAAATAACAAATAAATACAATGCAGTTTAGATGAGAATCCCAAAATAACATTTTTTAGAATTAGGAAAATACAAATATTAAAGCTTACATGGAAAAATAAATGTAAAAATTAAGAAACGTATTAAAATTTTAAATGGTGGGGGCAGAATGCTTGTCGGATAGCCAAAGCATTTTTAAAATAGGTTTCCCTTTTATACAAAGGAGAAACTTTGAAGATGATCATACCTGGCATATGTACATATTAAATATTGATAGTAAGTTCTATTCATAAATGACGACCAATGGTTAATGAGTGTTTATAAAATAGACTAACATTAAAAGTCAATAAACAATTTTAATAAATGCATGATAAAATATTAATAATTAAAATAAAACTGAACAACTATTGGGCACCACATTATAAGAGCTTTACACATAACATCTTCCTTTGATCTTAAGAGCCCCAAAGGGCTACTCTGTTTTAAAGATAAGGACCTTGGGGAGAGAAGTTAATCAACTTGCCCAAGGCCACATTTCTAGTCAAAACAGGGATTTAACTAAGAGAACAGTAGGTCTGAATTAAAAAGAATATCACTTCATCATGGAAAAATATTCCATGTTAATGGAAAGAGATTTCTACCCACATATATATATGTTAGACCATACCCTACTGTAATTTAACTATAAAATTATATCAGTATCAAACTGAAATAAATAATAAATTGAGATAAGAAAAAGAAGTAATGACAAATTAGGGTTTAAATTGTGCTTTTCCTTTTTAAAGGGTGATATATTTATAATATGGTCCTAACTTACAAGAAAAACAGATTCTCGATAAAAAAAGAATCAAAGAGATTTCACAATGCAGAAGTTAAATTACAGGTGTTCACTGTTGCAGTAAATATTCGACAAGGAAAACAGATATAGAAGACAAAAGGAATTAAGAGTAGGGTGACCATATGATTTATCTTCCAACCCATAACACTTGGAGAATTAAAGAATGCGGTAATAGTGACTGTATGGTACAGTAAGTATAAGGACTGCCCTAGGCAAACCCAGATATTTGGTCACCATAGCCAATACTTTAACAAAAATTCTTTGCTGTGATAATAATTGCTAACATTTTTTGAGTACTTACTCTATTACCATGCATTCCATGATACATGACTTTATTCTGTTCTATTCACTGCCCCTGCAGGTGCTTTGTACCTCACAGTAGGCACTCAATAAACAATTGTTGAAAGAATGAATAGGTTTCTTTTAATAATTTAAAAAAAAAGAGGATTCTATACAATATAGCTTAATTCTTTAAACATCATGGTTACCTAAGCTTGTGAATAAGTAAGCATGCTCATGCATACAAAGACTTAGAGGAACAGCAACAAATTTAATCAACAACCACATCTCTATGTATTAAATACGGGAGACAGAATACTGAAATTGAGGCACAGCAATAAATGATTAATGATGGCATACTGCATTCTTCTAATTTAGTCTAGTAATGAGAACAAAATTCAAACTAACAAAGAAAGTTACCTGTTTTCAAATGCTCTTCTATTCTAGTCATGATACTCAACCACCAGCAAAGACACATCTGCTTTTATTACTTACCTGCACAGCCGAAAGCCAAATGGTATCTAGAAGACGGGCTGAATTTCACACAGCACACGTTAGCCTTCGCCTCAATGCTTGCCACTGAGTTGTCTAGGTTGGTAGACCAAAGCTTCACTAAGAGTAAAGGACAACGAAAATGAAAAGAAATAAACAATATATTAGCAAATATTTCTGTAACCTAGAAAATCTGCTTATTGCTACAGCTGTCTTCTTGTTCATCTATAATAGCACTTGGGTATACTAGCACCAAAAATGTTTAAATTGAATGACTGAGCAATAGAACAGTGTGTAGAAATGAGGAGAGCTTAGTTTCAAAGTCAGAAAACAACACAGGTAATCAACACATACTGAAAAGTAACATGATTCCACAACTAAGGCATAAAAGAAAGAGGTAAAAAAGTAATATGGAGATACACATGTATTCACTATAGAATTCTTTAAATTGTGTGTGTGTGTTTATGAATAGGGTGACTATATGATTTATTTTCCAACTCAAGACACTTTTGAGAGTCACATTATCATATGTGTATGTATGGTAAATATCAGAAAACACACATTTTCATATGTATATGTATGGTAAATATCAGAATACAAATACCATTTAAAATACCTGGGAGAAGTTATTTTACCTTTCAATTAATAATTCCATACTTTTATAATTTTATGTAGGAACTTAGGTATGTTCAAAGTAATAGATTACAGAATTGTTCAGCTAAACTTTACATTTTTTTTGTTTTAATACTTGATATTTAGTCCATTCCAATGGTATATATTGAGATCTATCATGACTAGGGAATAGAAAGCGGACTGATCAGAGCAGTTCAGATTTGAAAGCAATAGTAAGGTGAGCTGTTGTCTTATAAGGTACCAAAGCAATTATCATATAAGTTTTAAATGAAAATATCTTAGTAGACACTAGAATATATATTTAAAATAGATTTTCAGGATATGGGTTACAATCCTAGTTGCATATTAGAATCAGGAACTAACATTAACAATAACAACAGTAAAAATCTTCCTGTCAAATCTTTCTGCCAAATCTTCAGTGGGTCCCAATGGGTCATTCAGGACAATACCCAGATGGGGTTCAGGGGTTGGCGTTTATTTTTTTTAAAGCTCTCTGGGTAATTAAAAATGTGCATTTGGGGTTGAAAACTAATACTAGAATGAAGGTATGGTAAAATTTTATAACCTTTTTAGGAATACAACTACAGTAATCTGTAAACAGGAGTGAAGAAGGTAAAAATGGTTCCGACTACCACTTCTATGAAATGGTATTCCATAAGAATAGAGTTTCTCCACATAAATAATTTATCTTCTGTGAATGGTATTTCAGAAGGGTATAGAATTTATGTGTAATCTCTGAATAAAAATTAATTAAAAGAAGTTATTTAAAACCTGATGAATCTATTAGCCTTACCAGAGAAAAAGACACTCATAAGAGTTTTTCAACAGCAATATTTGATTTATTTCATGTCATTTTCCAAAAGGAATCATGTGCTATTTCAACCAATATATTATTGTTCAGACAAATAAGATATATAATTCTGAGATGAGACAGCTAGCTGTCATTAAAATTCTGCATGTCAAACATAGTATCAAGTTGTAGAACTATACCCTAAAAGCCTAGCAAGCTAAAGTTAATCGTCAACAAATATTTATAGAACATTTACTCTTCCCTTAACACCACTACTAATCACTAAGAACATTTACCAACAAGGGTTATGTATCAGTGTTTTATGACAATTTATTATAAGGGAACATAAAAATGAACCAGAACTAATACAGTGACAATTAAATTAGAAGTAGTCCTTTTTTTTTCACTTGTGTAATTTTCTTAATGGAATAATTATTAACATTTTAAAAGTAAGTCACAATGGTAACCACGATGATTATAATTTTCAATATATATATTGGAATTCAATGTTACTGCCTGAGCTATAAGGGTAACTAAAACTTAGAATACTATAAAGATACTGTGTGTGTGTATGTGTGTATATATATACATATATATGGAAAAAGTAAAAATAAAGAATACAATATACTTGATTAAATTACTGGTTACTACACACAACAGATGCTATGGGTTGTGTTCCCCCCAAAATTATGTTGAAGTCCTAATCCAGACACCTGAGAATGTCATCTTGTTTGGAAATGGGGTCTTTGCAGGTGTAAACAAATTAATTGAAGTCATATTGGATTAGGATTGGCCCTAAATCCAATGACTTTTGTTTAAAAGAAGATGGAGACTTGGATTCAAAGGCACAGAACGAACAAGGCCATGTGTCAACAGAAGTAAAAATTGGATATACCTACAAGTCAAGAAATGCCAAGGACTGCAACTAACCACCACGAGCTAGGAACGCAGCAAGAAGAGATGGTTCCCTACAGCCTTCTGGAGTAGCATGGCCCTGCCATCACCAAGATTCTAGGCTTCTACCCTCCAGTATTGTCAGAGAACAGATTTCTGTTGAGGAAGCCAGCCAGCTGTGGTACACTTATGGCAGCCCTAGGAAACTAATAAGATATGATTAAGTAACATTAAAATCAACTCAATATCCTAGGATGGAATCACAGAAAGGTAAAATAGTTTAATCTTTGGAGGAAGTATAGAAGAAATCAACAAAAGATTTGGAAGGAAATGTCTAAAACAAATATAAATGAGATGGTCCTCAAAATGAGACAGCACATAAATGAATAGGAACACCTACTATTACTTTCGCCTTAAAAGGATGACAGTAAGAACTTAACTTTTAAAATTACAATTTCAACATCTATTGCAAAACTCCCTTTTTTAAGAAAAAGTAAATTTAAAAGAATGTTGAGCCAAGACAACTAAATCAAACAAGACACACTGCACTTATTTATAGATAATTTCCTTGATACTCTAAAAAATCAAAATGATGGCTAGAAAAATCATGTTGCAATTTAAGAAGCTAAAAATGAAAACAACTTATACTGAATACTATCTAGCTGGTTTTTGGATATGAATTTGATACTTAAAACTAAGTGTTTCAAAGAACAGCAAATGCTGGCAAGGATGCAGAGAAAGAGGAACCCTCCTACACTGCTGGTGGGAATGTAAGCTAGTTCAACCACTGTGGAAAGCAATACGGAGGTTCCTATTTCTAAAAATAGAAATACCATTTGACTCGCGAATCCCACTCCTTGGAATTTACCCAAAGAATACAACTTCTCAGATTCAAAAAGACATATGCACCCTATGTTTATCACAGCACTTTTTACAATAGCAAGATATGGAAGCAACCTAAGTGTCCATCAGTAAATGAATGGATAAAGAAGACGTGGTACATATACACAATGGAATACTATTCGGCCATAAGAAAGAAACAAAACCATGGATGGAGCTGGAGGACATTATGCTCAGTGAAACAAGCCAGGTGGAGAAAGACAAATGCCAAATGATTTCCCTCATTTGTGGTGTGTAACAATGAAGCAAAACTGAAGGAACTAAACAGCAGCAGACTCATAAGACTCCAAGAAGGAACTAGTGGTTACCAAAGGGGAGGGGTGCGGGAGGGTGGGTGGGGAGGGAGGGAGAAGGGGATTGAGGGGTATTATGTTTAGTACACATGGTGTGGGGGATCACGGGAAGAACAGTGTAGCACAGAGAAGGCATAGTGGATCTGTGGCATCTTGCTGCACTGATGGATAGTGACTGCATTGGGGTATGGGTGGGTAATATGGGTAATATTGATAATATGGGTAAATGTAGTAACCACATTGTTTTTTTATGTGAAACCTTCATAAGAGTGTATATCAATAAAAAGTAAAAAATAAAAAAAAACTAAGTGTTTCATTACAAGTTTGATTACTAATAGGTAAAGAAAAGGCTTTTTTGGAAGTATCATCTGAATCTTAAATCCCATTAAGTAACACTGAATTTTTAAAAATCCAAATACCCTAGAGAATGGGTAAACTTTATCACCTACTAATCTGTAAAATTTGGGTTAAACAGCTTCCAAGTTCCTTTGTTTAAAATTATTTTTTCCAAAAAGGGTTGCATATCTATAATAACATTTGCACCAATTCCAACATGCAGTATTTTTGTTTCTGAGTTTCTCAGACAGAGCCCACTGCATGTCTATCTATTTGCTCCAAAGCTTCCTAAGAAAGCATTCATTGTAAAAGAAAAAGGAAACAGGCACAGGAGTTTGACACTTTAGTTTAGTTTCTTTAATAAGAATGTGTAAGTATGAAAATGCTTGATATCTGATACTCCTGGACCCACTTCTGAATTACTGTTTAGATATCACAGAAAACAGAATGGTAAAAGGGGATGGTGCTGTTTCACCAAAAATTACCATAAACCTAAGGGACAACAGCACTATTTTATTTATCTATAAAAAGTATAGATTTAACACAGAGTGGTACACTTTGACAATATTCATTATCAAACCTAAGTTCTTCTTTTAAACTTGATCAATAGAGAAAACAGGACTTGAATTAGTTAGCAATTGTACAGTGAATTGCCCCAAAACTTAGCAACCTAGAACAACTAAGTTTACTATGTCACCCAGTTTCTGAGGGTCAGGAATCTCCAAACAGGTGGTTTTGGCTTAAAATCTCAAGGCTCAGAGGTCACAGGTAAACTGAGCTGGAGGATCCACTTCAAAGCTCACTCAACAGGGCTCTTGGCATGTGGATTCAGTTTCCGACTATTTTAGCTTGTGGCAACACAGTTTCTCCCAAACCAAGTGACTGGAAAGAAAATGGTGAAGATAGAGACTGTGATGTTTTTTAGAACCTAATTTCAGAAGTGACAAAACTTCACTTCTGTAGTATTCCACCAGTCACACACAGACTGGAGCAATGCAGAGGAACTAAAAAAGTGTGGGAATACCAGAAGATGAAGATCACTGGGGCCATCTGGGATGCTGTGCAACATAAATCTTTTCATTTCAATGGAATTCAGGAGATATTATACTTAGTAAAGGTGTAACTTATAGGAAAGGTAACTGCCTAAAATTATAAATTCATAGGAGAGGTAACTGCTATCATAATGCTTTTTTTTTTATTACACTGCAGTTCATTTTTTAGCTGTCTGTTTTAAAAGATGTGGAAGTATTTCACTCACTATGAGCTAAATAAAA